TGAGTGGATAAGAGCTACATGTATCAATATGGGTAAATATTTTAAAACAATTTTAAGTGAAGACAGCCAATGCTGAATCAAAAGTACAACATATAAGACAATGTGATATATTGTTTTTGGATACACACATATGTATTAATAGTGTACTATGTTTAAAAACTTTCAAGAGGAAGATAAATACCAAATTCAGGAATATTGGAGGGTTTCAAATAGGTGTTTTATTTTATTTTAGTACTGTGGATTGAAACCAGGGGATCTTAACCACTGAACCACATCTCCAGCCCTTTTACTTTTTGAGACACATCTTACTAAGTTACTGAGGCTGGCCTTGAACTTATGTTCCTCCTGCCTCAGTCTCTCAAGTCACTGGGATTTACAGGTGTATGCCACTGAGCCCAGCTCAAACAGGTGTTTTTGTTGCTGGGGATTGAACCCAGGGCCTTGGGTRTGCTAAGTACATGCTCTCTACCGAGCTATATCCYCAACCCTTCAAATGTTTCCCTTAAAGAAAAAAAAAAAGGTATAACTAAATGTAACTAGTTCAAAACTAGCTCTCCTCACTGACATCCTTATATCTCTGTGTATCTTCTCACACACTCTATGCACATGCAAGGACAGATAAAGATATGCATCCTCCTATTCCACCTTTCTTTTAAACACAAATGGTAGCAACACCATTACACCCTGTTTTGAGCTTCACTTTTCTAACACTATATCTTGAATTTTGTTATATGTCAGTACATAAAAAGCTGTTTTTTGAGACAAGGTGTTGCTGTGCTGCCTWGGATGATCTTCAACCCCTGGATTGAATGATCATCCTCTGATATTAACCTCCACTACACATGGCTACATTAAGTAGTTTTTCGTTATTTTTCTTTTCTGTGGTGCTGGGGATTGAATCCATGACCTCACACACACTCAGCAACCCTCTATTACCCAGCTACATCTCCATTCCTCCCTCATTCATGTTTTTAAATTTTATTTTTGTRGTTGTAGATGGTCAGCATGCCTTTATTTTACTTGCTTATTTTTTTGTATGTGGTGCTGAGGATCAAATCCAGTGCCTCAAACGTGCTAGGCAAGTGTTCTGCCACTGGGCCACAACCCCAGCCCTCCCCCATTCATTTTATAGCTGCATAATATTTTGCATGGCTGTACCAGGCTTTTATGAACCAATCTCCTATATATAGAATATAGACTATTTTGGTCCTTTTACCACAARGAGCTTCACTGCAATGAATACCCTTATGTCACTCTGCACATATGTATGTCTTATAATACATTCCTCAAAATAGAAATGCTGGGTCTTTAAAATAACTCCTCAAAAAGAGTACCAATTTATTTCCTGCTCCAACACTTACCAGTGTCTGTYACCCTATCACAGGTCAACACAGTTACAATCAGGCTTTTGTGTGTGTGTGTATGTGTGTGTGTGTGTGGTACAGGGGACCAAAGTCATGGCTTTGTGTATAGGAGGAAAGTGCTCTACCACTGAGCTACATCCCCAGCCCTATTATCAGACTTTTTGATCTGAGCAGAAAAGGTATTTTGTTGCAATTTTAATTTTCATCTTCTTTTTAAAATTTTTTTTTTTACCTTGGTTTTGTTTATTTTCATGTGATGCTGAGGATCGAACCGAATGCCTCACACGTGCAAGGCAAGCACTCTACCCCAGCCCTAATTTTTACCTTCTTAAAAATGAATGTTATTGAGCATATTTAATTTTTCAGAGACAGATTTATTTGGAAAGCAGATACATATTCAARGGAGAATGAGTAGATATAAATGTGGGGGAGGGAATCTTTTGGATGAAGAAAGAAATGCACATTCAAGGGATAATGCTGGCCATCTTGAGGGTGAAAAGTATGGGGATAAAGAAAGGAAAAACATGTTAAAGAAAGAATGCAGGGCCAACTTCAGAGGGAGATAGCCTAAGCCTGAGCATCTCTCTTTTTTTTTTTGGTTCTGGGGATTGAACCCAGGGGTTTTACCACTAAGCTATACCACCATCCCTTTTAAATTTTTATTTTGTGGCAGTCTTGCTAAATTGCCCATGCTGGCCTCCAGCTTATGATCCTCCTGCCTCAGCCTTTTGAGTAGCTGAGATTACAGGCATAGCTCAAACTCATCCTAGAGCCATGGGGTGGGGGGTGTCCCAAGTCTGTAAACTGATAAGCAACACCACTGGACTATCTGGAGCTGAGACTGTAACTCAGTGGTAGAGAATGTACTTCACATGCACAAGGTCCTGGGTTCCATGACCAGCCCCCAAATAAATAAATAAATAGGCACATCTGTGAACATGACAAAGAGGCAAGTCTTTGGGGGTTGCTTCTGTCCTCTGACTTCATTAGTGTTCCATTCTTATTCAGAGAAACAGAGAAGCCATGGGACTAACATTTGCAACATCCTTTACTGCCAGCTGTACAACCTCATGACAAGCTCTATCATAATTTTAAAAATTGAATTCTCTCATTCCAATACAACTAATTCTATGAAGCTAGCATCACCAAACACAAGTTGTTTTGTGATTTCTCCAGTACACTTTACTTTTTTGGAGGGGTAACCAGGAATTGAACTCAGGGCACTTGACCACTGAGCCACATCCCCACCCCATTTTGTATTTTATTTAGAGTCAGGGTCTCACTGAATTGCTTAGCAACTTGCTTTTGCTGAGGCTGGCTTTGAACTCATGATGCTCCTGCCTCAGCCACTGGGGCTGCTGGAATTAAAGGTGTGCGCATGGCTCCAGTACATTTTACTGTGTGTTCAGTTTATAGAATGTGACTATCCTGTATTTCAACACTTGCATTTGTAACATTCATAAATATCAATCCATAAATAACTACGGTAAAACTGTCACCTGACAGGGGTCCAAGGAAGTCCCTCCAAAGGAAAGGGGATCTCAATTGGGCCTGGGCCGGTTCTTGATGGCTTCTGGAGAAGAATTTCAGGATATATGAGAAAGTGAAGCACAAGCAAAGATTTTTAAAAAAATTTTTCTTCTTTGTATTTTTATCTTTATTTATTTATTTTTATGTGGTGCTGAGGATCGAACCCAGTGCCTCGCCCGAGTTAGGTGAGCGCTCTACTGCTGAGCCACAGTCCCAGCCCCACAAGCAAAGATTTTTTTTTTCTTTTTGGTGGTGTTGGGGATCCAACMAGGACCTCACAGCTACACCAGTTGCCCCAYGAGCAAAGATTTATTGAAGGCCACAACAAAAGAGTACAAAGAGTGTGGGCACTCTATTCTTCTTAGAGAAGACAAGACAGGTGACATGCCCAGGGTTAAGCTCTCTGATTATATACATAGGACTTTTCAGGGAACAAAAGTGCAGGTTCTCGGACAAGCTTCTTGAAARTAAAATTCCATGACAATCATTCTGTACTTGGGTTCAGAATAGTACTCTTTGGTCAACAGTCTATCCATAAATGATTCGTGGACCCACTGTGTAAATCTTTGAACCTGATGACATTTAAATAAATAATATATTTTTGTTCTAGTTGATCTGTTACAAGTTGAAGGTTTTGTTCATCTAACTAAAAGGACAAGTCATCCTCCTAAATCTGGCTCCCCACCTACTAACAGTCTCTTTTTCTCTTTCTCCAAGAACCTATTCATCTCAAAACAAGGATCAAGTTGCTTGTCCTCAGAATGACAATTGTATTTTTTCTCATGGGTTCACACAATATATATGCCATGCTTTTTGTGTCCTAGAGATAAGCAAGTTGGGTAACCACCTACCTGGCTCCAAAAAAGAACAAACTGGAACCAGGCAAGACCAGTTTCTGCCCTCTCACCCCCCCAACTCATTCCCATTCTTCTGTAATGCACTACAAAAGGTCTGTCAAYACCATTTTGGTCAGAACTGCTTTCTACCCAGACCATAACCAGTCCATATAAGGAAAAAAAAAAAAAAAAAAAGAAGGTGAATCCCCATTTCCATAAAGTGCCCACCCCCTCTCCAAGAAAAAGTCATAAATAAAATAATCCTCCCTTTTGTTAAYGAAGACTTCTTTTTTCACAGGTCAAACGCTAAATCAAGCCCTGACCTTAAGGGATTCATATATGATACTGCAAACTTGTCTGCCAGCTTCAGCGACTTAGCGAGGCTCTAAGCAATTTAGTGAGACCCTGTGTCAAAAAATAAAAGGTCTGGGGATGTGGCTTAGTGGTTAAGCACCCCTGGGTTTTAATCCGTTACCCCCTGCCTCCGAAAGAAACGGGGGAGGAGGGAAACAAACCAAAACTCAAAGTGCAGATAATAAAAGCATTTTCTCACAGAGTTGTAGAGAGGATTACAAGAGATAATGCATGAAAAGATCTTAGTACAATGCCTGGCGGAGGATAAAGTAGCTCTAAAGGTATTCCTGTGTAAACGTGGAACCAATGAATAAAAGAAATAAAATTAAGGTGCCTGTACATTTATTGAGCACCTACTATTTGTTGGTACTGCAATAAGTACAGCACGACGACTGCATTGAAATAAATGCAGCACACTGCAGGGTTCTTAACGCAGACAGAAAGGATTTAAAAGGGTTCTGGAGCTTGTGTTTTCAGGGAGTGGGGTTTGGCGTGGAGAAGGTGGCAGGAGTCGGTAGCGATGATGGATATTCCCGGTAGAAGCAGCAGGTCCCTGCTCAAAAGCCATGGGAGAGTGGGTGGCTTAGCACCCTACCAGGGCTCGTGGAAGGGCAGCTCGGTGAGATGGGAGGAAGCGCTGGAATCGACGTTCAGGTCCAGTCCTGTTATTAGCCCCGTGACTTTGGCCAAGTTACTGAACCTCTGTGAACATTCACAGTTGAAAAAGAGTCTGTTAAAGATACTCACCTGCCGGAGTTCCTGTGCGATTGACTGACAGTGCGAAACCGAACACGCGCTTTGCTAGGAAGGTAAGAAATACCGAAGCAGGACACAAGCCCGGCGCGCGGGGGCGTGGGCTTCCTCTCCGAGCATGCGCGCTGGGCCCGCGGCGCGGCCCGTCAGGCACTGCGGTAGGCACCCTGGGGGCTGGCAGGACCCTGACCCCAAGATGGCGGCGCCCTGCGAAGTGGCCGCGGCAACCTCCGGCGAAAGTGATGGCGGGGGTGGGGGTTTTGGATCCTGGCTGGACGGACGGTTGGAGGCGCTGGGAGTGGACCAAGCCGTTTACGGTTCCTACATCCTTGGTGTCCTGCAGGAGGAGGAGGAAGAAGAGAAGTTGGACGCTCTGCAGGGTATCCTGTCTGCTTTTCTGGTGAGTAGCCCGGACCCATCCTTCAGCCTTAGGCCGGCATCGGAGGATCCCAGTCAGTACTTCGCATCCCGCTACCCCTACCCGGCGTCACGAAGGCTTAGTGGTGTCACCTGGGAGAAGTACATTTCTAGCTCTAGGCTGCGGATGAAGGAGGTTGCTCCCAAACCAGGTTTTGGGAAGCTTGAAGGTTGCAGGTGCTTCGAGAAGAACGTCTTTCCCTTATTCCTGGGAACGAGGCCCTCTCGGATGCCTGTGGGTAAGTTGCAGAATGTTCTTATGAAGGCGCTGGGATGTCTAAAATGAGAGTTTTAGCTAAAACGTCTACAAACCAATTCCATTCCCATCCATTTAGTGTTGAGAGTGGAGAATAAAATGTTCTTGGGATGTTTGTTTACCCTGGGAGCAGTACCTAGGGCTGTCCCATGACAAAAGCCTGTAGGAAATCTCCTTTCAGGTTCTTCTTTCGGAGTAGGAGGCCAAAAAAGGTAACCTCGTGCTAAGGATCTTTTCATGGCGGGTGGAACTGAAGCAAATGTTGTGCTTGAATCTTTACAATATTTAGAAATTAAGTAATCGGGGTGTGTGTGTATGTGTGTGTTTAGGGGGGCAGTGATTAGAAAAAATTTAAAAAGATAAAGTTTGTATTTAGACTCTTAGAAGCAAATTGATTCAGAAATGCTTACTTTAAACTTTTTACCAGTAGTAAATGATTAAAATGTCCACTTTTCCAATCTGATCATTCTGCCTTATCCCCATTTCTCTCACCTCCAGCGCACAATTCTTAGATGGCGACTCTAGAGTAGATTGGCTACAAGTGCTGTCTGGCTGTCCATCAGATTCTTTTAAAATACAACAATCTCAAGACTGCGGTTGTAGCTCAGTGGAAGAGGGCTTGCCTAATGTGTGTTTGATCCTCAACACCACATAAAAACAAATAAAATAAGTGTATAAAAAGTACAATAACATTATTTAAAAAATAAAACTGGGATGCTCAATATTTACCTCTTTTAAAAAAATAAGATAAAATACAACAATCTCAAAGATAAAATTTGTTTGTGTCATCACTAAATACTATACGTAGACACTAGAGTTGTCTCTGCATTCATGGTTTAGAAGAGATGTGGAAATTGGACTGCTACTGTGAAAGCTGCCAGTTCATCAAAAGCATTAATTTTTTCTTGGTAAGTGCTCAGGTTTGTACAGGTTTGTAGAATGAATTCATTTGTTATTCTTTTTTTTTTTTTTAAGATGTTGATGGACCTTTATTTTATTAATTTATTTATATTTGATGCTGAGAATTGAAGCCAGTGCCTCACACATGCTAGGCAAGCACTCTACCACTGAGCCACAACCCCAACCCATTATTTGCTATTCCTTTTTTTTTTTAATTTTTAAAATATTTTTTAGTTGTAAATGGACACAATACCTTTATTTTATTTGTTTATTTTTTGTGGTGCTGGGGATTGAACCCTCACCCATGCTAAGCAAGCACTGTGCACTGAGCCATAACCCTGGCCCCCCTCATTTGCAATTCTTCAAGCCAATTTTAAACAGGGACTATTTAAAAAGTGAATAAGGATAAGCATGGTGGCACATGCTTGTAATCCCAGCTACTGAGAGGACTAGGGTGAGAAGATTGTAAAATAGAAAGAGGCCAGGCTCCGCAATTTAGTAAGTCACTGTCTCAAAAACAAAAAGGGGGCTGGGTGGCTCAGCGGTAGAGCGCTCGCCTCGCATAAGTGGAACCTGGGTTCTATTCTCAGCACCACATAAAAAGTAAAGACACTGTGTTGTGTCCATCTACACCTTAAAAAAAAGGCTAGGAGTGTAGTTCAGTAGTAAATCCCTGGGTTCAATCCCCAGCACTACATACACAGACCAAAAAAACAAAACAAAACAACAACAAAAAAAACAAACCAGAATCAAAAGATACTATGAAAATACAGATAGAAATATGTATATATGTATTTTATAGAGAAGTATAGAAGGCAGAAAACATTTTTTTCAAATACAAGAGTATTTTTGGAGGTGATACATGCAAGGAAAAAATGAATGTGTTACACTTGATGGAAGTGCAGTTCATTCTTTGGCACATGGTTGAAATATAACAGTAATGTAGGTATCCCAGATCCCTCTGGCAAGAACCTCTTTGAGTCCCAGAACCTGCTCTGGCGAGATTGGCCCATAAAGGGGAAAGCTATAGCACAGTTTGTAAGGCAGCTTGGTAGTTCAGTGGAAATTCAAAGTAGTGTTTTTTTGTTTTGTTTTGTTTTGAGGGGAGGGGGGTTCTGGGGATTGAACCTGGGATTGATTTACCACTGAGCTACCTCAGCCCTTTTTATTTTTTGATACAGGGTCTCACTAAGTTGCTGATTGTTAGTAAGAACTTGACATAGATAACGCTATTTTGAAACACATCCTCCCTTTCAGAATAAGAGTCACCCCAGACAATATTCCATCATCATAGAAAGAAACCCCAAACAATATTTCATCATCGTACAAAGAAAGGAAATTGTTATCTGGGATTAAAATCCTGAAAAATATCAGATTTGACAGGAACAGTGACCACCTCAAAGACAAGAGTTGAGGACCACAAGGACCCTTCCCTGACAACCCCCTAGCAACAGCCTAACCCCCAAAATTCCCTCACTCCCTCATGCCCCTACATCTATCCAAGGCTATAAATGGAAGATGAGTCTCAGTCTCCACTGGGCCCCCTTCCACAGGTTTGTCCCAAATAAACCTGTTTTACTGTTGAGCCGCCTTTCCTCTCTATTTCCTTCATTTAGTTCTTTCTTTATGCTGAGGGCCTCACTAATCTGTCAATGCTGGCTTTGAACTTGCACTCCTCCTGTCTCAGCCTCCTGAGTCACTGGGATTATTGGTGTGCTCCACCATGCCTGGCTGAATACATTCTTTTCTTATACCCTGATATTGCAGATTATAGGAGAAAAAGAACAAAGACAAGGAATTTTTATTTTTGTGTGTACTGGGGATTGAACCCACAGCCTTGTGCATGCAAAGAAAGCACTCTACCAACTGAGCTATATCCCCAGCCCAGAATTCTCATTTTTATTTCCAACTGAGAAATTTCTAATGACTCCATGAAAATGTTGTTAAAATAACTTGAGCTGGGCATGGTGGCATATGCCTGTAATCCCAGTAGCTCAGGAGGCAGAGGCAAGAGGATCTCAAGTTCAAAGCCAGCTTCAGCAATTTAACAAGACCCTAAGCAACTTAGTGGGACCCTGTCTCAAAATAAAAAGGGCTGGAGATGTGGCTCAGTGGTTGAGCGCCCCTGGGTTCAATCCCCAGTACAGCCCCCTTTCCAAAACAGAAAACTTTGGTACTTCTTTGCACTAGCTCCTTAACCAGCCCTTTTCATGGTGTCAATATTTGAAGCTATGGCTCTATTGGTAAAGGGAAACGTGTTTGTCTCATATTTTTTTATTTTTTTAGCAGACACTTGATAGAAAAGGCAAAGTAATTTAGAAGCAGAGTTGGTTCTTTGGGTTTCCATGTTGTTGCATAAGCTGCAAAAAAATTTTTTTTTYCCCATTTCTTGTTATTGAACCAGCATTGCACACATTAGGCAAACACTCTACCACTAAGCTACATATCCAGCCCAACAAAATCATTTTTAAGGTTGACTTCATTGCACTGTCCAATTCACATACTAGTTTAATTTTCTTCTATATAGAAACTGACTCTGGGAAAAATAGACCAGGAATCATAAAGTGAGACAAGGTTCTTGTCCATAAAATATGAGGAGCATCTTTACAGAACAAAAAGAGCCAAGAAATATGGTTTGTATTAAGCATATAATTCAAAGTGCTGCTGTCAGTCAGTCAGTCTGGCAGCATGTAATGCCAAAGGTCCCTGACTTTTGTATCACATTTCTTTCTAGGAAAAACAAAAACCAGGGCCAAACCAAGTTGCCAAATTGGGCTAGGATTCAATATTAGAAATAATGAAATTTGTTAGCAATAATTTGAGATATGATTCAAGAATAGTGGGCTGGGGATAGCTCAGTTGGTAGAGTGCTTACCTTGAATGCACAAAGCCCTGGGTTTGATCCCCAGTACCAATAAATAAATAAATTATAAATAAACAAGTAAATAAATAATCCAAGAATAATGACGGAGCCAATAACAATAAATAAAAGCTTTCTATCATCTTTTCTTTTATTCTGCCCAGTAGTACTTGCACTGATTGATTGATTGGTTCATCACATTTTTATTGATGGATTACTGTATGCCAGGTACTACCGTTACTGCAAAATAGAAATTTCTGCCCTTCTGGGGTTATAATCTAGAAGGGAAAAGTTTTCCCAGTAAATTATAGTGCTATGTTAGGAAACTAATAAGTGCTAGGGAAAAGGAGGCGTTTTAAGAAGATCAGAAATGCAATAGAGGGTAGGTTACAATTTTATGTAGAATAGTTAGGGGGTTATATTTTATGGCAACTGTTTATATACCAACCTCCTAAATTGTGTATGAAGCCAGGCACTATTTTTTATTAATTTCCTGGTTCACATCTTAGTATGTTGAACAAAGCAGGCACTTTCTGAATGAATAAATGAAAGAATGATAATTGAACTGCTTTGGTTTAGGTGAAGAAACAGGGAATAAATCAGTTTGTCCTCCAAGAATATCCTTTTTATTTGGCTCTCCACTTCTTTTCTAATCCTTTTTTCTTTCCCTTTTCCTTTGCTTTCCCTGCTAGAAAGTCTATGAATTATGGAAGCTCTGACCCAAAGAAGTTTCTGTGTGTCTAGGTCATGCAGTAAAAGGATGAATGGTATAGGAAAGAATCCTTTGTTGATACAAAACAAGGGTATCACAATAAGACTTGTTCTAACTTTTTTCTTTAGGATAGCATAATACAGTGGTGAAGAGTATGGGCTCTTAGCCAGATTCCTTGGGTTCAAGTCCTCTTTATTATTTATATTTTTGGGGGGTGCCAGGGATTAAACTCGGGGGCCCTCTAYCACTGAGCCACATCCCCAGCCTTATTTTGTATTTTATTTAGAGACAGTCTCACTGAGTTGTTCAGTACCTCTGCCACCATGCCCAGTCTATTATTATCTTTATTTTGGTACTAGGGATTAAACCAGGGGCGCTCAACCACTGAGCCACATCTCCAGCGCTTTTTTATGTTTTATTTAGAGACAGATTTTTTGTCAAGTTTCTTAGGGCCTCACTAAGTTTCTGAGGCTGGTTTTGAACTTGTGATCCTCTTCCCTCATCCTCCCAAGTCACTGGGATTATAGTCATGTGCATCCACCTTAAGTCCTCTTTAATCCATTATTACTTGTATGACCTTGAGCAAGTTACTTAACCTCTGTACTTTGGTTTCCTCATATATAAATTGAATAACAATAGTAATACTTTATGTAATTGTTTTTTTTCTTAACATTTATTTTTTAGTTGTAGGTGGACACAATACCTTTATTTTATCTTTATGTGGTGCTGAGGATCGAACCCAGTGTCTCACACATGCTAGGCGAGCATTCTTCCTCTGAGCCACAACCCCAGCTCCTACGTAATTGTTTTAAAACTTGAGAATTCTTTTTTTTTTTTTTTTTAACTTGGAATCTAACCCAGGGGCAGTTTACCACTGAGCTATATTCCCAACCTTTTTATTTTTTATTTTGAGACAGAATCTCACTAAGTTGCTTAGGTCCTTGCTAAGTTACSGAGGCTGTCCTTGAACTTTTGATTCTCCTGTCTCTGCCTCCTAGGCTGCTGGGATTCAGGCATGTGCCACTGTACCCAGTTGCAAATTGAGGGTTTTTTTTGTTGTTGTTGTTGTTGTTTTTTTCGGGGGAGGATACCAGAGATTGAACCCAGGGGCCCACAACCACTGAGCCACATCCCCAACCACATTTTTTTTTTTTCTATTTTGAGACTGTCTTGCTTAGTTGCTTAGGGCCTAAGTTACTGAGGCTGATCTTGAGCCTGTGATCCTCCTGTTTCAAGTCTCCCAAATCTCTTGGATTACAGTTGTGCGCCCCCACAATACCTGGTGAATTGAGAATTTTTATGTAAAGTTTTAGTATAGTGCCTAGCAGATGGGGTAAGCACCTAATAAATGTGAACTCTGATACCTTGCCCTGTGAAGTAGAACAGGAAGCTGGTGAAGGTAGACACAATGAACATGGAGAGAATGTTTGTGTGTGTGTGTGTGTATATATATATAAAATTTATTTATTTTTAGTTTTAGATGGACACAATACCTTTACTTTATTTACTTTTATGGGGTGCTAAGGATTAAACCCAGTGCCTCACACATGCTAGGCAAGTGCTCTACCACTGAGCTACAACCACAGTCCCAAGAATGCCCATATTTTTGAATGCCTATGCTTTGCCAAGTAGAGTAGGCACTGTATACACATTTTTATTTATCCTCACTAAAATCCTGGGAAGATGTGAAGTTCAGAAAGTTTTGTTCATAAGCCAGGCAGGGTGGTGCAGGCCTGTAATCCCAGCTACTTACTTGGAGGGTTGCMGACAAGTGAATCACAGGTTTTAGGCCTGTGATTTAGCAAATTCCTATCCAAAAAAAAAAGGTTTAGGGATGTTCCTCAGTGGTAAAGCAGCATTCCTTAGTTCAGTTTTTTTCTGAACCAGACATAAAGAAACTTGCTCATAGATCTGGAATTCAATCCCTGGTATCAAAAAAAATTAATAATAAAAGATAAGGAGAGCCGGGCACAGAGGTGCACATCTGTAATCCCAGCAGCTCTGGAGGCTGAAGCAGGAGGATCTTGAGTTCAAAGCCAGCCTCAACAAAAACGAGGTGCTAAGCAACTCAGTGAGACCCTGTCTCTAAATAAAATACAAAATAGGGCTGGGGATGTGGCTCAGTAATTAAGTGCCCCTGGGTTCAAACCCTGGTACCCTGCCAAAAAAAAAAAAAAAGTAAGGAGAGAGTGGGGAAGGGAAAAGGGGAGATGCTGATGACAAGTAGAAAATTTCACTCAGACAAGAAATAAGCTTTAATGAGCTGTGGCACAGAATGGTGACTAAAATAATAATGTATTTCAGAATTGCTGAGAGTAAATTTTAAATGTTTTCACTATARGAAACTGACAAATATGTAAGATTATGAACCTGTTAGTTTCATAGTATCATGCCCAATGTAAACATATATCAAAACATCATATTGTATAAAATTTTTTAAAATTAATTAATGAATTTATTTTTTTGAGGATGAGGACTGCCCTGAGCTGGTAGGAATCTTTTACCCTGGAGCTTGGCAGGATGGAGTAGGTGCTCTTGATCTAGCAGGTGTGGATTTTGGGACAAACACACCGAATTCCTTCTGTGCCCATAGAGACATATTCTGTGGCTCCCAAAATCTTCCCAGGATCTCTTCTCAACTCTGGCAGGGAGAGCTGTGCCCTCTGCATAGGCCTTTTTAAGGTTGCTGTTGTTTTTGAGAACTCTCTCAGAAAATTAATCAATCTACTTTTGCAACTAGGAAGAAGATTCACTCCTTAATATCTGCAAGGAGATTGTGGAACGATGGTCTGAAACTCAGAATGTTGTCACCAAAGTGAAAAAAGAAGGTAGAGTTGGCGTTTCTGTGTGGCATTTTGGTGTGTGACCTCAAGGGTCCTTTCTAAAAGCCTTACTATACAGCTCTTTGGGAGAGGGTGTTTCATTTTCTCCTTTGATTCTCATTCTTCCTGAGATGATTTACACTGGCGAACACTTGAGAAGCCGGATTTCCTTTTCCTTTTGCATTTGTCCATTTTAGCCTGACCACRGTTACCTTCATTGTGGTTTTTGCTTTCCTTTCATCCTCTCTCCACAGCACATATGGGTATATATTTTTCTCACCTCCCATCTTTTTTATGTTCTCTTTTCAAAACACAAATTATGGTTGGGATTTTGGTTTATTCAGCTAAATCATTTACCCTTTAAAATGCAAAATAAATGGGCTAATATTTTAATTAGTTGCAGAAAACTCAATTTATAAAAATCAAACTTGAGAAGAATCTAAACTACACCCTTAGGGGCTGGGTTCATGGCTCATTAGTAGAGCGCTTGCCTAGCATGTATGACACACTGGGTTTGATTCTCAGCACCACATATAAATAAATGAACAAAATAAAGATCCATCAACGTCTAAAAAAAGTGTTAAATAAATAAACAAACAATTAAATAAATAAAAATAAACTTCACCCTTGATTTTCAGTCTTTCCTGTACATTAGAATCACTTGATATACTAGGGTTGGACTCCAGGTATTGGTGTTTTTAAAATACTCCTCTAGAAGGTTCTAATGTATAGCCAGGTGTGAGAGCCCCTACTTTGCACCATTGCTTCCTTTTTCAGGATGGAGAACTTAGTAGTTGATCTTATTTTAAAATAAGGCAAAATATTTTTAGTTCAAGCATTGTACTTGGCACAATTATAAACATGAAAGGGATCAGCCTTAGTTGATTCTGGAGTCTTTCTTAGGTTTCTGGAATAAGAGAAGAGAAAATTGCCTGTTTAGAAGAAGCTTGTCTATGATTCGAATGCAGTGCTTTTCCACCTTTTTTTTTTTTTTTTTTTTTTTTTAAGCAGCCAAATCAATGTATAAATCAAATAAAATCAGGGCTGCTGTGATTGAAGATATGGATGTAAGACCATGCCTGGCCTGCATGGCCTTTCCTTTCCTGTCTCACATGCCCCTGAGGCATGTTCTTTGAACCGTAGGACCTTTGAGTCAGCAGCTGCCAGTGTCTTTTACAAGCACTGCCCTGGTGAGCTGGTGGTTGGGTGAGCTTGTTTTCTGTCATACAAACGTGTTTTCCCTCTCTTCTGCCTTCCAGATGAGGTACAGGCCATTGCCACCCTCATTGAGAAGCAGGCACAGATTGTGGTGAAGCCCAGGATGGTGTCGGAAGAGGAAAAACAGAGAAAAGCTGCCCTGCTGGCCCAGTATGCTGATGTAACAGATGAAGAGGAATATCCTTTCTGGAATCTCGGCACCATTCCCTGAGGGTGACACCAGAAGTGTTGACAGTTTACAGTGCTCTTTAGGAAATTGTCAATCACCCGCCATAGTTTAATTTTCTTCTCTAAAATGGCAAAGATCTATGGCCCTTGATGGATACGAGAAATGAGTTGGAATAGTTGATACTGGAGATATGTACTTTGGTGCTAAGGAATGAATCCAGGACCTCATGCATGTTAAGCATGTACTCTATCACTGAGCTACACTCTCTGCCTAGACTTTTATTTTCAGAAGTACATTTCTGAAAACTCAGTGTAAATAATGCCTTAGTGAACCAGTATGTTGTGCTTTCAGAAAAGAAGATATAGCTGTGATTCCTTATATTTGCATGTACATGTGTACTGTCACATGTATAACCCATCTTTCTTTTCTTTTCCAGTCAGTAAAGACACTGATAACACTAAGATGATGAGTGATCACAGGCATTCAGAAAATCAGTGGCAAAATCAGGCAGGACTAGAACTTGGATGCCTTTGGGTGAAGGATACCCTAACTTAGGAGCCATTTAATTCAAATCTTTTTAATGTGACCATAGTTAAAAGTAAAGCCGAATCCCTAAACACTACCAAAATAAATTAGAATCTGAGTGTGGGAACTGTACAAAAAGAAAGTAGTGTAAGTAGGGGCAGATTTAGTTCCCTGTAAATTTGAAATTTATTTAGGAAATGCTTAGCTTACAGAGCCTACTTGAATGAAGTATGTGGCTCATTATACAGTAGACATCATCCCAGAAATATCAGCTGGCTAATCACTATTTAGGAAAGAATACTTGGGTGCTTTGGAGACAGTTTCTCTTACGCTTTTTCCTCACAACTTTTCTTACTAGGGTTAGCAGAGTATGGTTCCAATGATAAATAAAATCTCAGTTCTTGGGTTAGAATAGGACTTTATTTTTTTCCACCATTGGAAAAAACAACTTTTAAGCTGGGTACAATGGTTCATGCCTGTGATCCCAGTGACTTAGGAGGCTGAAGCAGGAGGATGTCAAGTCTCAAAAAATAAAAAGGGCTGGAGAGGTAGTTCAGTGGGAAGTGCCCCTCAGTTAAATCCCCAGTAGTGCCCCCCCCATCCCTACCCCCGCCAAATAGGGCTGGGGATATAGCACATGAGTAAAGCACTTCTGGGTTAAATCCCTGGTTCCCTCCACCAAAAAAATAAGAAGAACTTTTAAAGCATTGATTCCCCTGGAGAATGTGTTATCACATGAATTTCTGGGCTTTATACTCCCTCCCCAGAGTTTCTGATTAAGTTGGTTCAGATTGGAGCCCAAGAATTTCTAATAAGTTCCCAGGAGGCCTCTGTAAATAGCCCTTTGAGAACCATTGTTTTAGAGGTCATTTCATTGTCTCCTGGCTTTCAGATAATGTGACAGGCCACCCAGATCAACTTAAGTTTCTTTTTAGCCTCCAAGAAAAGACTTTTGCTGTGGAAGGTGCTATATGCCCGTAATCCCATTAACTCAGGAGGCTGAGACAGGAGGATCTTAAGTCCAAGGTCAGCCTCAGCAATTTGGTAAGAATCTATTTCAAAATAAAATAGAAAGGGATGGAGATGTAGTTCAGTGATTAAGTGTCCCTGGGTTAAATCCCCAGTCAAAAAAAAAAAAAAAAAGAATTGTAAGAGAAGCTTAGAACAATTTTTCTCTTCCTAAATTGAGATTTCCAAAGATGAATCTCTGGGGTTTACTATCACATTCCGGACAAAAGTCCTTTTTCCATTCAGACAGCTTTTCCTCTCCACCAATCTACAGAGTATTTTTAAATACTGAGTTGGGATGTGTGAACCTTTGTTTTCCATCCAGTTTTCCTTAACATCACTTACTGAAGCAGATGAGAAGGATGATTCAGGTGCCACCACGATGAACATTGGTTCAGATAAATGTATCCTTCTTTGTGACCAGCCCCATGTGTTTCTCCATGGAATTCTCTTGGGCATCGATTTTTATTTTGTCATTGCTAGTACTTCCTGTTACCTGCAGGAACTCATGCCAGCATTGAGAGTACAGAAGGTCAATTTATCAAGCATATTCCGCAAAGAAAAAGTTAACAAGTACTGTTTTCTTCTTCTTTTTTAAAAATTTTATTTTTAGTTGTAGATGGACACAAAACCTTTTATTTTTATGTGGTGCTGAGGATCGAATCCAGTGCCTCACATGTGCTAAGCAAGTGCTCTACCACTGAGCCACAGCCCCAGCAAGAATAATTTTTAAGGAAAAATGAACATCTGTACTCCCTGTGTGCAGCTCTGGGTTGCCTACCATTATGGAAATAATTAAAATAATATTGAAGTTTTGTGTTTATTCTCAAAAACTTTATAATTTCTTAGAAAGAGAACAGAATGAATACTAATAATATAAACATATTGAAACATGTGTTGGGAAAGGTTCTGACCAACAGAATCATTTCCTAGAGAAGATGGGTTTAGAAATATACCTTAAGCCAGGTGGGTGATGCACACTTGTAATCTTAGCAACTCAGGAGGCTGAGTCAGGAGGACCGAAAGTTTGGGGCTAGCCTCAGCAACTCAAATAGGCTGGGTGTGCTTATAATCAGTGGCTTGGGAGGCTAAGGCAGGAGGATCACAAGTTCAAAGCCAGCCTTAGTAACTTAGCAGGGCCCTAAGCAACTTAATGAGAGCTTATCCCAAATTATAAAACCAGCTGGGGATGTGGGAATGGTGCCTGCTTTCAATCCCCCCCCCCCCCCCCCCCCCCCGCCTTCCAACCAAAAACAAACAAAAAAAAAAGGACTGGAGATGTAGCTGAGAGATAAGAGTGCCCTTGGGTTCAATCCCCAATACCCGTCCTCAAAAAAAAAAAAATCTACATTAAGCTGGGTGTGGTGGTACTTGCCTGTAATTGCAGCTACTCTGGAGATTGAGACAGGAGGATCACAAACTTGAGGCTAGAATGGACAATTTTTAGTGAAACCCTGCCTCAAAATAAAATTTTGAAAAAGGGATGGGGAGGCTGGGGATGTAGCTTAGTGGTAGAGTGCAGAGTGGTAGGTAGCACTCAGAAGCCCTGCATTCAGTCTCTAATGCCATAAAAAAGAACGTGACCTCCCCCCCCAAAAAAAACGGGCAGGGGCATGTAATTGGGGATATAATTTGGTGGTAGAATACTACTGCATTCAATTTTCCAATATCACACACACAGAGAAAATTCACTTTACTTATTTCGTAGTGGGGATTGAACCCAGGAGCACTTAACCACTGAGCCCCATCCACAGCCCTTTTTTATATTTTACTTTGAGATAGGGTCTCACTGAGTTGCTTAGGGCCACTCTAAATTGCCAAGACTGGCTTTGAACTCATGATCCTCCTGCCTCAGCCTCCCAAACTGCTGGGATTACAGGCATGCACTAGAGGGCCTGGCTGAAAATTCATGATGAAGATATGATGCTAGGTACCTTGGYGCATGCCTGTAATCCCAGTCACAGGGGAGGCTGAGATGGRAGGATCGCAAATTCTGAGCCAGCCTTGGTAAAAGTGAGGCACTAAGCAACTCAGTAAGACCCTGTCTCTAAATAAAATACAAAAATAGGGCTGGGGATGTGGTTTATTGCTTGAGTGCCACTTAGTTCAATCCCCAGTACCACCACCCCCCCAAAAAAAAATGAAGGGTTTGGTATAGATTGTCAGAGAAGGGGAAGTTAATTCAGAGAGACCCATTTAGTTTTGGTGCTGGGGATTAAACCCAGGGATCTATTACTGAACCGTACTCTCAGCTTGAGACTCATTTATTTTAAAGCACTAAAGAAAAAAAGTCATATTTTAAGAGTGGAGAGAAGCTTGTCTAATATTAACAGGTTTTGTTTTCAAATTTAAAAGAAATAAGCAGTACAGTTTTTGGCCAGTTATTTTCTGTTAAACATTTAATATTTCTTGTAATTCAGAGTTGATGGTTATTAGAATATGGATTTCACTTAAGCTTTAGTGGCCTAGGGAAAAAAATCAAATTGATAAAATTTAGTAGGGTTAACCTTTTAACTCTTTTCAAGCATTTTAAAGTACATAAACATTTTCCAGTTAAATTAATGTTCTCCTCACTAACCCTAGATACTCCGCAGTGTTCTGCTATTAAATACCTATTCCTAGGCTGGGGTTGTGGCTGAGTGGTAAAGCACTTGCCTAGCACGTGTGAGGCACTGGGTTTGAGCCTCAGCACATAAAAATAAAGGTGTTGTGTCCATCTATAACTACCTATTCCTGAATGAGCATTCACTTTTGTGTGTGTGTGGTGCTGGGGATTGAACCCATGGCCTTGTGTATAGGTAAGCACTGTAACTGAACCATATCCCCAGCTCTTGAGCTCTGATAAATATTTAAAAATTCAGATTTAAGTCTGAATGAGATTTTTTTTCCTGAGGACATTTTAGATCTTCTATAATTAATGATAGCTTTAAGATTTCCACTAGACCAAGGATAAACACAAGGATGGTTTTGTTTTGGTACTGGGGATTGAACTYAGGGGCACTCAACCACTGAAGCACATCTCCAGCCCTAATTTGTAATTTATTTAGTCCCTCACCATCGCTGAGGCTGGCTTTGAACTCACAATCCTGCCGTCTCAGCCTCCCTAATCTATGGGACTACAGGAGTGCATCACCATTCGACACACAAGGGTGGTTTTTTAAGACTAGGAATAGATAAAGGCATTCAGGACTCAGCAAGAATGAGGAAAGTTGTAGTTGTGACCTGTACCTTTATCCCTTAACTCACCTGTAGCTCTGTTTCGAAACACCAATGTAGAAGATGTCCTCAATGCTCGGAAATTGGAGAGAGACTCACTTCGGGATGAGTCCCAAAGAAAGAAGGAACAGGACAAGCTGCAGAGGGAGAGAGACAAACTAGCCAAGCAGGAGCGCAAGGAAAAGGAAAAGAAAAGG